ATACTACTATACTATTAAATAATCTCTATCAATAAATTGTAATACTTTTACAATCTTAGTAATACTCATTTAAAAGTTGTTTTGTTTATTTATTTATTATTATTATTAATAATAATAATAATAATAATAATAATAATAATAATAATAATAATAATAATAATAATCGCTATTGGTAAATTGTAACAATTCTAATATATACTTATTTAAAGGTTGTATTGTTTAATACTACTACTAATATGCGACATGCGTGAATAAATCACTATATTCGCGCATAAATAGACACTTGAACATTTTGAGTTAACAATATAATATTAATATGAAATAATATATAGAGAAATACATCTGTACAGAAAATGTATTGCCAATTTATTAAGAGTTTTTTTTTCAGACAATATATCACTTAAACTATTAAAAACCTTAATAAAAGTCACTTTTTTGAACTTTTCAAGGTGAAAAACTGTTTAAAAAAAAAGATCAAGGTCTTTCATTCATTCATTCATTCATTTTCTTTTTGGCATAGTCCCATTATTACTCTGGGGTCGCCACAGCGGAATGAACCGCCAAGTTCCCATAATGCAATTCAAAAGCATAAATAAATGGAGAAAAATTTAAATGTGAATCAAAAAATACAAAAAAAACTGCAAATTTCTGGACATTTTTTACTGCGTATGATTAAAAAAATGAAGCATTGAATCCACTCATTTGTCTTGATTCAGATCTGTACACATGCAGTGTTAATGTGCAGTGAATATAATCACTCTGCGCCCCCGGAGACAGATTTATTAGCACGGATTCACGCTATACTTGTGCGGATATTCTCTTTCTGTCTTAATCACTCACGGCACACTTGATATTTGGTTTCAACTTCATAGAGCCGAGGCCAACGTTTACACAGAGTTTCTGTTTTCAAAGAGAGAGAGAGAGAGAGAGACGGCACAGTTTCCAGTGGCATTTCTCACTTCTGCTGGGTAATATATCAAGAAAAGCGCGCCGTAAATCTCACGAGAGAAACAGCGTCCACTCTCCTTCCGGTCATTTCCTGACATCCTGTCTCACTTCTCCTCTCTCAGTCCCTCCATCTTTCTTTCTCTCTCTCTCTGTTTCCCCTGACAAGTAACCAGACACCACCAAACTTCACTTCCCTAGTAGTGTCAGGTTCACCAAAGTTAATCAACGTGAGCCGCTGAGACTCAGCACAGCACCGAAGACGTCTTCAATCTTTAAATCCCCCCGTTTACATGTAGAACAATGCGAGAAGAACAACAACAACAGTTCACATTGTATGTAAACTGTATGTAATGCAATCAATGACTTTCAATATGGATATATATCATTAAATATTTAAGTCATTATCATCACAGTATCATTATATATAATAAGATATGTTTTAAGTCATTTAAAAGTCCTAATTACGTGACGTCTTTAAAGTCTTTCAGGTAAACTACAGTAGCTATTTTACAGTATGTTTGAAAAATGGTTAAAAATCATCAAGGATGCATGCATTTGATGGCAAGTGCAGTAGACGTGTATGAAAATACATTGAACGAACATGCAAAAATATGCATAATTATTATTCTTTTGTCTTAAACTGGTCAAGAGGGACAGTAAAAACATTTGTAATGTTAGATGTATTCATAATATTAATTCAAGTTGAAAAGAGGCGTTCCATTAACATCATCCAAAAATGAATGAAAGAATGATTGACTGAAATAAACAAATGAATAAATAAATAAGAAGGAGTGTAAATTATTTAGTATTTTTATAAACAGTATTGTTGTAATCAAATGAAAAAAAGAAGAATGGATGGATGGATGGAAATAATTTTTTTAAAACACCTTTAAATGAACAAAACACAATATATCCTAAAACATTAATGTTGTTTAATAAATGAATAAAGGGATGGATGGATGGATGGGTGGGTGGGTGGGTGGATGGATGGATGGATAGATGGATGGATGGGTGGGTAGGTGGGTGAGTGGATGGATGGATGGATGGATGGATGGATGGGTGGGTGGGTGAGTGAGTGGATGGATGGATGGATGGATGGATGGATGGGTAGGTGGGTGGATGGGTGGGTGGGTGTGTGGGTCGATGGATGGATGGATGGATGGATGGATGGATAGATGGATCAATCGATCGATGAATGAATAAATGAATAAAAAACAGGTTAGAACATTTTGTATTTTTTATAAATATATAGTAAAACGTTGGTTGGTTGGTTGGTTGGTTGGATGGATGGATGGATGGATGGATGGATGGATGGATGGATGGATGGATGGATGGATGGATGGATGGATGGATGGATGGATGGATGGATGGATGGATGAATGGATGGATGGATGGATGGATGGATGAATATATGGTTGGATGAATGGATGGATGGATGGATGGATTATATGGAAATATTTATTTTAAAACTTTTAAAATAAGCAAAAAAAAGATTAATCCTAAAACATTAATATTTTTATACAAATGTTGTTTAATGAATGAATGAATGAATGAAAGTGGATCATTTTGTATTTTATAAATATATAGTAAAACAATAATGTTGTTGTTAATAAAATGCTAAAAGTGAATGAATGGATGAATAGTATGGAAATATTTATTTCAAATATCTTTTAAAATAAGAACACATATACACAATATATCATAAAAACATTAAGGTTGTTTAATGAATGAAAGAATGAATGATAAAAGTATAGATCATTTTCAATTTTTATTAAAATAAAGTAAAACATGGTTGGTTGATTGGTTGGATGGATGGATGGATGGATGAATGAGTGAATGAATGAATACATGAATGAGTGAATGAATGAATACATGAATGGATGGATAATATGGACATATTTATTTTAAAACTCTTGTAAAAGAAACAAGACACAATTTATCCTAAACCATTAATGTTGTTCAATGAATGAATGAATGAATGAATGAATGAAGTGTGGATCATTTTGTATTTTGTAAATGTATAGTAAAACATTAATGTTGTTAAATGAATGAATGGATGGATGGATGGATGGATGGATGGATGGATGGATGGATGGATGGATGGATTATTATTGATTATTATTTATTGTTATAGATATATTGTAAAATATGTATGTCGTTGGTAATGAAATGCTAAAAATAAATGGATGGATGGATGGATGGATGGATGGATGGATGGATGGATGGATAGATAGATAGATAGATAGATAGATAGATAGATAGATAGATAGATAGATAGATAGATAGATAGATAGATAGATAGATAGATAGATAGATAGATAGATAGATAGATAGATAGATAGATAGATAGACTGATGATATGGAAATCATGACAGACAGACAGGCAGGCAGACAGAGAGGGATGGATGGATGGATGGATGGATGAATGGATGGATGGATACGCCCAAAAAAACATACAAAAAATACTTGGTAATCATAAGAAACTGATATTTAAAAAATCAGAATAACCAGGTCTTTTTTTTCTCTTTATCATTATATTTGAGTATGGTCAGTGTCTGTTCTGCTTTAATGACAACACTCTATAACTTGCGTTTCTTGTGTGTGTGTCTCCAGGTAATGGACAATATGGGCAATGTGAAGTTCTGTCTGGACGGGGCTCTGGAGGCCAGTGGGAGCTGCTGGCTGAAATACGTGCGCACTGCCCCTTCACATCTAGAGCACAACCTGGCCATGTGCCACATCAGTGAAGATCAGGTGACACACTTAACGTCTGTTATTCTCGCTCTCCGATTGGTCAACCACAAATCTGTATACAATATGTATTTCATGCATTCAGTTGTGAGACATTTCAACGCTATCTCACATCAAAATCAATTTGATTTAGTGGCTAATTTGTATGAATTTGTATGAACTTGTTAGTAAATTTTAGCACTATTTGCTCATTGGCGGTTGTGCTTAGGTGTTTGGTGCCACGCCTCCTTTTAAAAATTTTAGATTTTCATATGCCAGGACGCTGATATAAATTTGTACGAATTAGCCACTAAAATTATTACAAATAAATAAAATTGTAACGTTTCCTCAAGAGATCAAGCTAGACATGTGTTTGTGTTCAATATGCCTAGAGTATGAATTGTATAAAACTATTAAATAATACTCATTCAGTGTGTTATCAGAGCTGTGATGTGCTCAACGTTACACTTTTTTAATTCATCATCCAGCTATATAAAGTTTACAGCTTGTGATGCATTTACTGGCTATTGGGACTATTAAAATGTTATATATTTGTAAAAAAATTTAATTTTTAACAGCCATTAAACCAATAGTTCAGAATAATAAATAAATTCAGAATTAATTTTATTTATTTATTTATTTGTTTGTTTGTTTGTTTGTTTGTTTGTTTGTTTGTTGACTGACTCCCCTTCCCTAAACCAAACCGATAATGTTTTCAAAGGCAATCTATCGCGGCCTCATGATTTCACCATGTTTTCAGCTTGTTGTTGATTAATTTTATTTATTTTTCTGTTGTTTTACCTGGTTTCTTGAACTGTTGTTAGGCTGACTCAAACCCTGTTGTTGCGGTATACTCTGCTCCGCATCTCAAGTCCATTGGCGTACGTGGTGAGCTACTAGCCAAACTTTTAACACTGGAAAAGCCATCAACATGGAGATAATCAGACTGCGTTACCAAAAAAATAAACATAAGCCGATGGAAGCGTCATATTGTGCCGTAGCGTTTATTTTACAAACATAATGGAGCCAGACATACCTCTGGGTACATAATTTGCAGTCTCCAGAAACGTAGACAGGGGTACATATCCACAATGAGCCGGTGTTGCCTATTTTTGTTTTATTTCAGCAAGAATAAAAGCAGTTATTCATTTTTTGAAAATCATTTTAAGGTCAATATTATTAGCCCCCTTAAGCAATATTTATTTTTTGATTGTCTACAGAACAAACCATCATTATACAATGATTTGCCAAATTACTCTAATTAACCTAGTTAAGCCTTTAAATGTCACTTTAAGCTGTTTGCTAGCATCTTGAAAAATATCTAATCGAATATTATGTAGTCAAAGATAAAGGAAATCAGTTATTAGAAATGAGTTGTTAAAACTATTCCGTTTAGAAATGTGTTCTTATTTTCGTTAAACAGAAATTGGAGGGAAATAATTAATAATTCATAAGGGCTAATAATTCTGACTTCAACTGTAGGAGCTGCAGTTTAGTGTCGTAGACACTTTTAAAAGCACAATATACAGCGATCAAGCCTGAAAACTGACCATTCAGTCTTGGAGAGGCGTAAGTCAACACATGTTACTGTCAGGATGACTGTCAAGATGTCACCACTCATTAAACAATAGCTCAAAAATAGAGTATTGTTTGAGAAAGGCTGTTCCCTGGAGGTGACTAATTTACAAGAGTCGCGTATACAAAGACAGTCTGGACACTCCTGGATTTTGTAATCCACCGTCTTCAATTATTTGGACGAGCAGTTGTCTGTTAAAGATAAGATATCTGATCTCTCATAAAGCCAGAGGTCTCATAACAGCGGCGAGAGATACTGTAGTGACTTGTGTTGTGTGTTTACTGTATGGCAGGCTTTGTTCAGTCAAACGCTAGCAGGAGTTGTGTTGATGGCGGTGGTCTTAATCTGCTGCCTGAGATCTTGTTGTCGAGAGAGGATTGTTTCCTTTGCTTACATGATATCAAGCTGATTAAGTCAAGGGGATGCTTTATCTAGCGTGTGTGTGTGCTCTTGTTTAGAGGGACAGTTGACATGAAAATGTATCATCGATCACTTGTCATTAAAAGTTTGTACGACTTTCTTTCATGCAAGAAAAAAAAGAGACATTGTGCAGAATGTTCTGGCTGCTCTTCTTTATACAAATAGAATATTAATGAAGAGATTTATATTTTGTAACGCATTTTTAATCATAATAACTCATTTTTAATAGCTCATTTCTTTTGTGTTTGCCATCATGACAGTATATAATATTTTAGTAGTTATTTTTCAAGATACTAGTATTGAGCTTAAAGTGCAATTTAAAGACTTGATTGGGTTTTGTTTAATTAGGCAAGTCACCGGATAAAAGAAAACAAAATATCTTAGGGAGCTGATAATATTGACCTTATTATATAGATATATATATATATATATATATATATATATATATATATATATATATATATATATATATATATATATATATATATATATATATATATATATATATATATATATATATATATATATAAATA